ATGCAGAGTTCTAAGGAGGGGCTCAAGGATGGAAAATAATAGTAATGATTGGAAAGGACAGCAAAAGATCAGGAAATGATTTTCAGAAGATGGTTTTGAAATGCTCTTAAAAGAGGAACAGATGAAAGTGAGGAAATCTGTCAGCATCTCTCCTTTAATGAGGTCCCTGAAGGCAGGAACTTGTACCCTGCAGGAAGCACAGTAGGCTGCATCTAGTAGTAGGTGCTTTAAAAGAACAGCTTTGAATTCCATTAAATATAGTTGAGGAAGCTATATAAGCGCAATACAGGGCCAAGAACTGCATAGTCTGACAGGAGATGGACACTTCAGGAGGATTTAAGGAAGAAAAACCAGCACATCCACCCTTGAACATACTCCAGTCATCAAAACAGGGAACATTAGAATTCTCTCCAGAAAAGAAAGCTGGGTAGAACAAAGGAGAAGACAGAAGTATTCTGCATAGCATTACTCTCTGTATCCTTTGAATTTTGTGGCATGTCGACTATTTTATCTATTAAAAAAATTAAATATAACTTATAAGAATCTACATGTTTAAAAAATGTATCCTGGGCCAGGGATTTAGATCAGTGGATCCATGGCTTGCCTCATAAGAGCAAAGACCCGAGTTAAAAAAAAAAAAGAAATAGAAAATGTATCTGGCAGCCATGTGGAGAATGTGCTGGCATTGGAAGAAATAAGAAAAGAGATCAGATCTAAGATCTAATGGTTCAGGCACACGGCAATAAAGGCCCAAACTAAATCTGGAGGCATCAGAAAGTAGCTGAAAGCAGAAAGCTCAGAGATGCAGTAATTGCCAAAGCAATGTGACTAGTGACTGAATAAATGGCATGTAAGGACCCATACTTCAAACAGAATCCATTTAACATTATGAAATATATTTTTGTAAGAGCCGGGGATTTAGCTCAGTGGCACCACACCTGCCTTGCAAGGTCCTGAGTTCAACCCCCAGTACCAAAGAGATATATTTTTCTATTATAAAAGCAATGTAATGTAATCCCAGTACTCAGGAGGCAGAGGCAGGAGGACTGCTGTGAGTTTGAGGCCAGCTAGGATACAATGAATTCAAGGCCAGACTGAACTACATAGTGAGACCCTGTCCAAAAAAATCAAAAAAGCAACGTTAGAGAATTTATATAGGAGAACATAATGAGGAAAATTATACTTATTTCTACATGCTTAACATCTCTTGGCAGTATCTGTATGTATTCTCTTCCTATGTGTAAAATTCTGGTTTAACATAACTTACATCCCATACAATTCCCCCATTTAAAAATGTATGTTTAATGGTTTTCATTATATTCAGAGTTGTGCATCCATCTCCACAATTTTATAAAGAAACCTGTCACACTTACTAACCCCCACTTCCCCCAACTTCCAATCCACTTTCATCTCTTTACATTTTATTTTATTTCATATACATGGAATCATATAATATTTAGTCATGTCTGACTTCTTTCACTTAACATGTTTTCAAGGTCCATCCACATTGCAGGATGTATCAGTACTCCATTTCTTTTTATCAATGAATTATGCATCTTAAATTCTGAGGTTTTTAAATTAATCATTCAAGATATGTAATTGTGTTCAGCATTTTTTGTATCATAAATGCTTCATATTTGCCATATTAAATGAAAAGCAATATCCCTCATCAAGTGGCTATATCATGGTTTAGTCATTTTATTATTGTGGGATATCTGAATTTGTCTCCAGTTATTACTATTGTAAGTAAACTTCCTTACATCCAAGTGGGAGCTCCTTTTTGAAAGAGCTAGCTGGATCCAGAGAAATGCCTCTCAGAAACTCAAAGCTTCCTAATTTAGATTTACCAGAGGTCAAGAGTTGTGTTCTTCCAGGAAAGAGTAAGATTTCCTCTATCTCAAATCTAGGTAAAAAGGTTAAATTAAAAAGGATACCACCAGGGCTGGGGATTTAGCTCAGTGGTTCCACCACCTGACTCGCAAGCCAAAGGACGTGAGTTTGATCCCCAGTACCAAAGGAAAAAAAAAAAAAAAAAGGATGCCACCAAACTATCCCCATTAAGAATGAAAACTTGTAGCCAGGGATGTAGCTCAGTGGTTCCATCGCCTACCTCGCAAGCACAAAGACCTGAGTTTGATCCCTGGTACCAAAAAAAAAAAAGAAAACTCATAATTATAAAGACATAAAGACATACAAATGATTAAACACTCTGACTCTTCCCTCAGAAATCTACTGGAACGAAGATAGGGAAGTACTTTTTTCAAATGTGATGCTTAATTATGTAGCTTCAAAAAAAATCAGAATATTTACTTTCCACAGCAGATGGGAGGAGAACATCTTGACTAAACCAATAAAGGAAAGGTGTACTTAATTCTTGCTACTGGACAACAGTTAAGTTCAATGGGTAGAAAGAAAAAGGAAATGGCACTGTACACACCATGGAGGTCCTCAAAAGCAATTAGACATAATAGAGCACATTCCTTTAACACACTATTCCCCGGCATGGTGGTGCATGCCTGTAATCCCAGCACTCGGTAGGCTGAGGCAGGAGGATCATCATGAGTTCAAGGCCAGCTTGGGCTACAAAGTGACATCCTGTCTTAAAAAACAAAACAACAAAAAAGCAAAAACAAGAAACAAACAAAAATAACACTGTCATTTGCTAGCTGTTCCAATTCATTAACCAGAAATGTAAACAACCCTCTAAATCACAAGAATTTTTAAATTTTAAAATAGCTGTAGAATTACTCAACTCTACCCAGTAAAATCCTTTAGATTTAGGTCTAAAAAAATAAAATTGTGACACTGATTGGAATGTGATGCCAATTAACTACACTTTGTAATTTGTCAAAGAACCTTCATATAACCTAAGTCAAAACCAGTATCAAAGAAATAACCAGTTGACATTTTCCTTGGTTAAACTGAGATACTAGGAGTAACTCTAGAGAAAACAAACATCTCTGAAATTTACCACTAACAGATTAATAGAATGATTCAAACACTGTAAAATTAAAGGTTGCTAACTCTAATATTTAATTAAGGAGTTTTTACTCACAATGTTTAAGGCAAAAATAAAATACCCAGCCGTTACTATCTTGAGGCTCACAGACAAAACAGTTTAGCCCAGTACCCTGAATTGACACCGATCTCTAGTAACACACTTAAAAACCAGTTAAATGAGCAACTGGGAATTTTACCCATACCTGCACATACCAAACATCAATACACCTAAACAACGTCACCCTCAAAAAACCAAGTGTTCCTGATTCCCCAGTAGATGTAGTCAACATGAGCAATTTTCCAAAGAGTCATGTTTTGAAAAAATGATTTCCACCATTTGCACAACTTAAAAAAATTCAAGTCAAAGCTTGACTTTGTGGCTCTAAAAACTCTCATTGTCACAGCAGTTCCCGCCTCTCAAAGGCAGTATCTAAACCTTCCTGCAAATCAACATGAGGACAGGTGGCCTGGCAGCCAGCTCCTCCCACAAATCAGGATTATCAGTGTAGCCTATTATATTCCTCACATGCAAACAGCAGTATTCCCGCCTGTAACATTTCTCTATTTGTGGGCAATACCTTACTAACAAAGTTTTATCCGAAATTTAAATATAAAAGAATCATAATTTACTATTAAGTTTTGAAAGAGTACTCTGAAGTTATTAATTTTCCATTTTAAAAATAAATGTAATGCTTCTGCAAAGTCAAGCTTTAACTTCCAAAAAGTATGAAGCTGCTGTTTAATCTTTAGAGCAAAGAACTGGCATGGTTTAAGCTAAAAGTAACTAGTTTCAGAGCAACTTGATATTTATTCACTTCAAGACACTTTTTGTCATTAATCAGCTTAATTTGCTTTTTTCCAGCTAAACCAAATCTCTTAAAATATGATCAAATATATTTCAGTCATCTACTTCAAAGGGAAACATGTTTTCTTCAACTATTGACAAGACTTTAACAAAACTAACCCCACTCACAGTTTATAATCACAAACCCACAAACCTAAAAGATGAGCTTTTAGAACAGAACAGTAACAGGTTTATTTTTCCAAGTACCCAGTGCTCAACAGGGTCAAATGTCTTGGTTGGATTTTAAACAGTTTAGCCCTTCAAGTGAAGTAAGAACAAGTGAAAAGAATCTCAATCTTCTTCAGGGGTATACAATCATCACAACCCAAAAAAGATTTAGGAATTGCCAGAAAAGCCTTTTAACATCATAATAAACACTAATCACAATAGCTATTTTAAGAAAACTATGTTCATATAATTTTAGACCTAATACACCAGAAATCTGAGGAATTCAACCAAAGAAAGATTTTCCTATATAAAATATACTACTTTAAAATACTTATATTCTACCCTTTTTAGATGTTTGTTTTACATGATCTGTCAAATTCAATGTGCCTGGAGAACACGATTTATACACTGTCAACATCCATTTAAAATTTAGAATTAGTAGAGGGTATTACGTTTAAAAAACCAACATTCTTTCTGCGAGCTCTACATTTATAAAAATATTTAAAGAGAATCCGTAGGAAGGAGTTCAGTTCATTCACCTTTGTTTAGTACAAAGCATCTGACACAGAACATAAAACAAGGGGGCGGGGGTGTACTGAGGATAGAAAACACACATACAACACACACACAAAACCTCTGAAAACAGGAGGATTTCACTAACTCTCTAAACTGCTCAAGCCAGGGGCATGAATTTGCAATCCTCCTGCCTCGATCTCTCACAGTGTTGGGATTACAGGCGTGAACTACCACAGTCGGCTCAAAAAACGTTCTCAACTGGGTTTAACAACAATTACCATCAGGTTCAACATCATGGGGGGGGGCTATCTGTAAAATCAAAAAACAGTCAACTTTCACTTACAATAAATCCAAATTAGGTCCATTAGTTCACCATATCATAACACAGACCCTTCACCATCTGCCAACGATTTTCTTTTAGACTCTCTACTCTCAATATTCCCCACTCCCACTTGCTGCTCCCCAAGCTCACCCCAGTCTTGCATGCCTCAGTGTCTGGGTACAGCGGCGCCCTCGGCTGGAACGCCCTCCCGCTGCTCCTCCGGGGTCACTGAGCCGTCCTTCCCAATACCGCACGAAAACGCACAGGACAAACG